GGTTCAGAGAAATATTAGACAAAAGCATTATAAACATGCAAATAATTCAACAAACTAGCGAAAGACTTTTGCATGTCCCCTTGGCACCATAAGGTAACAAATGGCGGAACAAGTAAGTTTAGTATAGCAAATGAGTCTCTCTGTTGACTCTTTAACCACTTCACTGCCAGGTCCGACATTGCCAAGGTCTCCTTGTAAGGTTGTAAAGCAGCTTTGGAAGAGAAAGGGTTAATTAAGGACAAACGGACGTAGTGATACTATGCTCGATCAGAAGACACTATTGCGGCACATTTCAAACCATCGTACCCAAATTAAATCAGAAACACGAATTTGCATATTTTATATAATGCATGTTGTTGCCTGCTTTAAAAAATAAACAGTTTCAGAAAAAGCCAATCAACAGAATAATAATAATAATAATAATAAATAGCATTTATACTGCGCATTTCCATTTCCTAAAAGATGCCCAATGCGCATTACAAGGAAAAAGACATCACATCTTAAAAATTAATCGACAAGTGTGTACGTAAAACAAAGTATTATACATATAATATAAATGCATGGGTAAAATCTGTATGAAATAACAACAAAGTTTTACTTTTTTGGAACCACAAAATAGCGCGTATTCAAGAAATAGTCGTATGACTAGAACGTGCGTCCTGAAGTGGCTCGTTCCTATGAGCTTTAAGTAAAGTAGTAGTAGTATGGGATACGGACGTTAAACACGGAGGTCCCGTCTCTTTCACACCCTCATAGTGTAGATAGATGCGTCAAGCCTATACCTTTAATCACATGAATCCATTTCATTTACCTACCTGAATACCATACGAACTACACTCATCTTATCTTTCAACGAATCCTTCTATCGCAACACATTTTTTTTCCAGTCTACATTTCGGCCGAACAAAGACAGCACAGCTGGTTACTTTTTGGCCGGGAAGACTATGCATTGGATTCCGGTGGGTACAACGTTCCTTTATGCCACACGCACGCACGCACGCGCGCAAGCACGCACGCATACTCGCATGCATGCACGCACGCACGCAGGCACGCACTCATGCACGCACACAAATGAACACACATATGTGAGGCAGCGTGGTGGAATCAGGCTCTCGTCAATTTTTGAACACGTACAGTTATTGGTATCTTCTTAAAGCTTGTTCACTTGTCTTTATTTGGATGAAAAAAATATCCATTTATCAAAAATATCCATTTATTTATGAATACAAGTCGAGATATTTGCGAAAGAAGGAGTTGGGGGTCACCTGTTTTCAGAGGTAAAATTAGTGAGAAAATGGCCGCCACAGATTAGTTATTTCCTTAGCTTAAGAGTCCGTGGTAACTGAAAATTTACATTTTTGTGCCTTTAATCAACGCTTTTCCAAAAAAATCCACTCAGAAATGAGTTCTTTAAAGGGCATGAAATATGTTGAGCCAAAAAAAATAAAATGATTTGATAAAAATTCACAAACCTACAGAAAAATGCAAGTGTCTTCACTTTGATTATTTTGACGAGAGCCTGATTCCACCACGCTGCCTCACATATATGAACAATCGACACATGCACAAGCTATATACACACACGTATTTTTACATGATATCCAATATCAAATATATATTTACGCACATGTATAATGTAAGCCTATATTATTATTGTTATGATCTATCTATCTATCTATCTATCTATCTATCTATCTATCTATCTATCTATCTATCTATATTATATACGTATATATAACATGACAGATTTCAGTAAAATAAATATCAACACCAACAGAACACGCACCAATGAATAACAATCAAAAGAGAAACGATTGATAGATTAAAAGAATTCTAGCATCTCAGAAGAACCTTCGACCAGAAACTAAAATGGCAAACATACGCATCGAAAGCTCTAAAAGAAAATAAATAATAGCTGGTTGAATCTAATTATTCCAAAGGCAGTATTATAATAATTCTGTCCCGAGGAAAGCGTAAAAACAAGGAGCACCAAAGAAGACAACAGCGCTCTGAAGACGCTTCGAAAATCGTTTTGAAGAAAGATTTCAATAATATTAATCCCTTGACATGGAAGAGCCTTGCCTCTGACATATGCAGCAGGACAGCAGCAATCACTGAGGGCAGCAAGTCAAAAAGAGGCTATACGAATTAAAAATTACATACTTAAGAAGCCAAAAGAGTAGCCTTCCAGATGCCCACTTTCATCAGCTGACAAAAAGAAATTTATTTTACCATCTATGAAACTTAAAACAATGGGTGAAAGGGCATTTGAATACCAAGGCTCCAAAATCTGGAATGCTTTACCAAGTACATTGAGAGAAATCAAATCTTTTGATTCATTCACATGTCAGCTGAAGTCGTTTCTGTTTTTAAATTAAAATAAGATGAATATTTGGAATAATTTTCTTTAGTCAGAACACAACGTTTCATGTTACTGTTGTATGTTGTACTGTATTGTAAAGCGATCAGAGCTTGTGTACTTTATTCGGGGTTGAGCGCTATATAAATGTCATTTATTATTATTATCAGAAACATAAGCCACAAGTCACCTTTTCCGTCCTTCCCTCTTCTAATTCTCTTAAATAAGATTATTCTTCGTATAATAATACATTGCTCAAGACCAGACATTGACGGAAGGACTATTATTATCCTTGTTTTTATTATCAATATTATTACTATTATCACCAGTATCAGTACTATTATTGCTATCATTACTTTTTGTTGTTATTGTTGTTGCTATTGATATTATTATTTTTACTGTATTCTTATTCAAATTCATTTATTCATAATATTTTAATTACTATCATTATAGTTATTATTATTATCATCATCATTTATTGTAATCATTATTATTATTATTATTATTATTATTATTATTATTATTATTATTATTATTATTATTATTATTATTATTATTATTATTATTATTATTATTATTATGACTAATTTGTACCCAAACTAAAGAAACACGCGTCACGTAGATTAAAGTCCAATACCTTTATGATATGCCTCTAAATGTGAGACACCGGCCTCCTCACGTCACATGTAGAGCCTGGGGTGGAAGCATTAAGAAAAATAATTTTTTTAAAGGGAAAAAAAGAAAAAAAAAAAAGAAAAAAAAAAAAGTGGGGTGGGTGGATGGTTCAATATGATATTATTTAGGGGAAAAAAAGGATCCAAAGTTTTTTCTATAAGAGGCCAGACAACAACGATGGTATATTATTATTGAGAAGCTAAATTGTACAACAGGAAAAATTTTATGTGAAGCGTGCTGACAAAATGAGTTTCTTCTTGGATTCAAAGCTTATGGAAAAAGATATATTCATCACGCTTAAATATATATATATATATATATCTATCTATCTATCTATCTATCTATCTATCTATCTATCTATCTATCTATCTATCTATATTATATACGTATATATATATATATAGTCACGTTTTGACAAAATATTAGTATAAAATAATAAAAGACATGTTATAGTTAAAGAATATGACATTAATAAAAACTACAAATTTGACCCTTGTATTGATTTTTGGCCAATATCTTCATTTGTGGTTAGCGAGAAGTAACTCATTTTGTCAGCACACCGCACTTATGATACTACTGGTCTCCACGCACCTTCTTCAAGCACACAGCTTATCCAGGGCGTTGAGGGTGGTCAGTTCATCCATCTAAACATAAGTCGTGACTGGCATTAAAAAACTCCTTTTTTACTATAAGCAATACACGTATTACTTTTGCCTTTTAAGAAACAATTCACTGGCAAAGGTTCTTACATAGATGGCCGAGAAGCTGTTTACTTGTTCAAAGCCCATTTTTGCAGGAGAGAGAGAGAGAGAGAGAGAGAGAGAGAGAGAGAGAGAGAGAGAGAGAGAGAGAGAGATGGGAGAGAGAGAGACAGAGACAGAGAGAAAGAGAGAGAAAGAGAGAGAAAGAGAGAGAAAGAGAGAAAGTGTGTGTGTGTGTGTGTGTGTGTGTGTGTGTGTGTGTGTGTGTGTGTGTGTGTGTGTGTGTGTGTGTGTGTGTGTGTGAGAGAGAGAGAGAGAGAGAGAGAGAGAGAGAGAGAGAGAGAGAGAGAGTCATGATGTGATGATGCGATGCCATGTTTGACGTATATTTTGTATTGCAGACACTGGTGACATCACACTGTCAATTTCTTCCAACGGAGGATGACTAAAGTAGATGTATATCTTATCCTATCTCATAAGTACATGCACCTTATATTGTGTTATATTATTACTATGTGTGACATCGTGGCGAAATCAGACGCTCGTCAAAATAATCAAATAAAAAAAACCAACAACACATTTTTCTGATCGTAGGGCAATTTTTGATTATTTTCTTTTCTTGGCCCAACACCAAGTACTTTCTTTTAAAAACACATTTTTGTGTGGATTTTACATAAAGAGAGGTTGATGAAAGGTATACAAAAATATAGATTGACAGTTCCCATGAGCACTCAAGCTGTGGAAGTCACCAGACTTTGGCGGCCATATTCTCGCTAATTTTACCTCTGACACCCGGCAACCCCCACCAACTTCAATCGCAAATATCTCAACTGTTTTTTTCCAGATAAATGGGTAATTATTCACTAGAATCAAGACAAATGAACAAGCTTTGATATGATGATACCAATGACTCCTATGCCCAAAAATTGACGAGCGCCCGATTCCACCATGTCGTGACACATATAATA